GTCTAACGTAAAAGATATCAAAATAAAACTAAACTCTAATTTAACTTTAGAATAACACACGTGTAAGATTGGCCTTATAATAACAGGAAGCGTATGTAGCACAGAGACTGTGAACACTACAATACGTTTAATTTATCAAGAGGATTAAAACCTCTGGCCTGGAAGGCAAATAGCAACTGCGTAACTTCTAAGGTAAGCGGCCTGCTTCGAACTCACTGCTTCCTCTCTCTTTCGCTTGGCAAAAAGGCCACACTTAAATACTTGGCGTTCGCCAGACAAACTTTGCATAAAATCCTTCACTCTTATAATTCTGGCCGGAAGTAGAAAATAAGAAGTGATAGTAAAGATTTAAAATAAATTAAACGTTAGTAAAACTTAAGATCCTTACAAGTTGTCTTAATCTTAAAAAAAGAAAAAGAAAGAGCTGCAAAAAAGAAACTTCTTTAGATTAATTCGCAAACAACTGCATATGCAAATCACGTTTGAAAATCTGAAACACACAGATAAATCTTTCTGTTCCGAGACTGGTAAAAATCATGGATTTGACAATTCTCTAGAAAAGGTAAATTAATGATCAGCCGAAAGATTAATAATCGTTGTAAGAAAGGCAGTTGTGCTTTATCATCTTTTACCACATACTTTCGCGGTATAATTTGGAGCACGTTCGACTAGCAACTGGAACGACCGAAATTTGGATCCTGGCTAGGGTAATGCACATGTTTCAGTCTTCGACAAAGTTAATAACTGTGCAAGTTCTGTGAATAACTAACGCTGTGACAGCGGAGCGTACTAAAGCGAAAAGCAGCACGGGAAACTCAATTTATAGACATTTCTAACTTAACAATAAAATGCCGTCTTTTCTGTTCTTTGTTTTAAATAGCTCAAGCTATTTTGCACAGTGAGGGCGTAGTTCTAGGTCTGGTTGTTTTAAATAGCTACTGAACTTAAAGCTCTAGAAGTGTTTTATGTTTCAGTTCCTAAAAATCAAATGGTGAATAAGCTAATATTGTATCATGCTCTGTGATTATTTAGACTACAACTAATCACAGAAATATAATAAAGCTGACAAGTTACAATTTTTATAATTAAAACTTTTGTAGCGCAAAGCTAGTTTGAGGTTAAACAGGATTAACTTTGCTGGATTCGTCAAACGTATCTTAAAATTCAAGAAGAAAGACTCAATTAGCAGTCTTATTCTAATTGTATCTGTCAGAGAAAATATACTTTCAGAAGGAAATTATCTTTGAAAATGATTACTGCTGAATTTATTGCAAGAAAAGTAGGGAACTATAACATACCTCTACTTATGATTCAGTTATGACGAAACTGTAGATTACGCTGGTACAATAATTAGATTTGCAGACTATAAAAATTCATTCTTTTGTTAGAAATAATACATTATGTCGGTAAATACCGTATTTACAACTGTTGGTCTTCGAATACACTTCTAACCGGAAAAATATTTTAAATAAGGCATTCTATCATTTTGAAAAAAAAAAAATAATAATATTAAAATGACCATATCCTTAGAATTTATGATAGACAGTCTCGCGCGCTGGAGATAAAAATATTTTTTTCTTCCGTCAAGTTTTGCCATTGCTCTCGCTTCGAAATCGTTGAGTTTGTTAATCAAATATTCGTTGAAGTGTTACAAAATATGACATCTATAATAAAACAAATTTCAAATTCCAAATTAGGGCTTCCAGACGCCCATAATCCATTAAAAATTACGTTATTCAAAACTTGATGGTTCTAGGTACCGTTGTTTTACGACAATGTGAGAAACATACACACAGTTATGCAGATTTTTTTTCATTATTTAATTTCTTTAAATATAACACAGGGTGAAAAAATTTGGTGGCAACAATTTGAAAATTGAACAGATATTTAAAGTTTCCAACGCAAAATGCCAAAACGAAATTAATAGCCCTACTAGGATAAAAAACAAAAACAAAAACAAAACAAAAAAAATCGGAAATCATCGGATTTTACATTATGCCAAAAGTGGCATTTTTTAATGTTCTGTGTGTTACCGTTATTTATTAAATATCATGTTCTTCGCACTTAAATCATAACATTCAAATCAACAGCAATATCACAAAATATTTAAAACTGTATATGTTTAGAATTTCCGATATACAGTCTCGAGTGCTGGATATAATTTTTTTTTTTTTTTTTTTCATTTTTCCGTACAGTGTTGCCATTGCTCGCTTTGAAATCGTTGAGTTTGTTAATCAAAAACTCATTTACAAAATGTGAAATAGATAATAAAACAGATTCCAAATTGGGGTTTCCAAATGCCCCAATTTGGGGCATTCAAGTGGAGACGTACGTTATTTAAAATTTGACGGCTCTAGGTACCATTGTTTTATCACAATGCGAGAAATATGCATACATTTATGCAGATTATTCATTATATAATTTCTTTAAATATAATACGGTGGGATAATATTTGGTGGTAACAATTTAAAACGTGAGTAGCCATTTATAGTAAATCAACGCAAAATGCCTAAACGAAATTAATAGCCTTCCTGGGAAAATTTCCCCTTTAAGTTAAAAAAAAAAAAAAAAAAAAAAATCTGAAATGTTTCAGATTTTAAATTACGTCCAAAGGGGCGTTTTTTTAACATTTTGTGTGTTACCTTTCTTTATTAAATATCATGTTCCTCGCACTTAAACCATAAGATCCAGTGCAACAGCAATATCGCAAAATAGTTTTAAAACGAGCCTATCTTTAGAATTTCCGATACAGAGACTCACGCGCTGGAGATAAAAATGTTTTTTCTGCACAACGTTGCCATTGCTCGCTTTGAAATCCTTGAGTTTGTTAATCAAAAATTCGTCAAAGTTTTAAAAAATAGGAAATCGATCATAAAACAAATTTCAAATTTCAAATTTGGTCTTCCACATGCTCATATTCGTTGGAGGATTACGTTATTCAAAATTCGATGACTCTATGTACCGTTGTTTTATCACAATACGAAATATACATACATTTATGCAGATTTTTCATTATTTAATTTCTTCAAATATAATGCAGGACTCTAACATTTTATGGCAACAGTTTGAAAAGTGAACCGACATTTATCCGTCCGACGCAAAATGCCAAAACGAAACTAATAGTCCTTCGGGATTCAAATCCCTTTGGACTAAAAAAAAAAGTATTTTGTACAACTTGCGAGGTTTGACTTTTAATACTTCTGCTGTATGCAGGTTTTAGAATTGTTAAGATGAAACTTTGATACTTTTAGTAAATAAGCCTTTAAACACTGTTTATTCGTAATTTCTGAACTAATTATAGTGCTATCTCTCAAGGTGATTATATATGTATTTTTCACTCAGTTGCTGTAGCTTGTGTCTGCTTTTGAGTTAAATCTTGAAATTCCCTTTTTGCTCATTTTAATTGATTTTTTTGAAACATCCCCACGTACATATGTTGTACGTTGTGACTTATCTCACGTGTTTGACAGTAACATTAGAACTTGCCCATGAAATTAATCGTTACAAGGAGAACAATCGTTGGCCAGTCGTTGGCAAGATCCTTGAGGACAGTACGACAGGGCTCAGTTCCGCCCCCAATTGTAATGAAGAGCACCCCGGGGAACGGGTCCGAGGGTCTTCAACCCCTCTTCCCCTACCACTAATCTCTCGAGAGGACTTTTGGCTAGCCGCATATTTAGAAGGCACCCCTGCGTTCGGATAAATACCTAAACATATTTGATGATTATGCTGAAAAATGAAAGTCAAGTATGCCTGCATTTGAACTTGCAGGATGTTATAAAAAGGATAATTTTCCTGCTCCATGTAGTTGACTGGTTATTTAAAATAATGTAGGTTCAGAAGGTAACTTAGTAACTGAGTGAAACTTCATAAAATACTGTTTTTTAAAAGTTAAATGATAAAAGTGATTATGTATTTTATCTTAGATTAATTACGTCAAATAATATAAGACAACAGTTTGCATTTTATGTTAAAGAAAAATATAGTTTGATGACATTTCTATTCTAAAATCTTAAGTAGTATACGTCTCGAGGTAGCTTTAAATAAAATTCTGCTCTTCATCTAAAGGTAAACGAAGATGTGCATAAATGATGAAATTTTCTTAAAAAACATATTCTTTTTCTAAAAAACATCATCATCCGATGAAGATAAGAATTGAAAACTATATATTGTTGCGAAATATGTAGTGATATATAGTAAAGTATACCAGCTGCGGTGAGACAGCTTTCCCGCAAAGCTTGGTTAAGGTTTTCAGAAAGTCGCACGGAAAGGAAGGGTTGCCAGATTTGGCGAGAAATCGCCCATTTTACGACAAAATTGGCGCCATGCCATAGACGGAGCGAGAACTTTCTAGAACGCATTCCTAGCGGGTTTCCTGGTTCATGTTCTCGAAGGTAAATTGAAAGCTATATATACCCTGCCTGTACTCGGAGTAGAGGTATGTTGAGTTCAATAGTAGTGTTTTGAGTTCAAGGATTAGCTTGAGAGCGACCGAACCGAGTCGGGAGCTGTACTTTAGTGCTCTGCCGTGAAGCTGTGTTTACCGTTACAGCCTGTAGGTTGTGTTGCTGCTTGTTTCAGCGTATTTATTGTAGTTTTCTACGCCTGTAAAGGTGTCTTTCTAATTGTTCTGTGTAATATTGGCGAATAAATTGTGTTTTGATTCTTCATCAAATGTTATTATCAATTACTCCAAATCCACGAACCTTCAGAACGCAACAATATTAAAGTAACAAGTACTCCTCTGCATGGTTTTAAAGAAAAAATTAAATAAAAAAGAAAACCACAGACATTTTTTTTTTTTTTTTTTTTTTGTGTGTGTGTGTGTGTGTGGAAATCAATCCCAGTGAGGTAGATTAAGTATACTTGTATTCTAATTTATTTATGCACTGAATGCGCATAAGTAACTGAATGCGCATAAATCTAAGTCTTGATGTTATTTTAGAGCTAATTTTTGTAAAAGTTAAAAATAAAAAAGAGGCACAGAATTTCATAAATTTGAAATATTTATTAAAACAAGAATCCAGGAATGAGAAATAAAAGAAATGAACATTTGCACATAGATACCAACACATAGCTAAAGACTTCAGCAACAATAAAAACCAGTGCAGTAAATTTTGCATTGCAAATCATCCCAAATTCAGAAGAATGCCTTAAACTTAATTGCTTAAACTACAAAATTACACTTAGTAGAGCCTGAATGAATATACAAAGTGCATTTTCTTAGTTTAAATAATTTGGCATTTTAATAGCTTTAACAAGAGATGAAAACTTCATAAAGCTGACATATATTTCCTGGTTATTATTCAGCAGATCTTTGAATCTAGCCGTACCCTACGAAAAACTAGCAGTAAGCTAATATTTGGCACAAGTTATTATCAGTTTTGTACATACTTCCACCAGTTTCTTTAGTTTGCCAGAATTTTCAAGTCGAAATATTTTATTCTGACTATTAATAATTTTCCGAATTTGATAGGGTACCTTGAGCATGAAATCATGTTAGAAATTTTTTAGGTATAAGAGCACATTTTCATGTTGATAGATCAAACGCTTGTTGAATGCTAACAAGAAAATTGCAGTTAATTAATTCTTACAGAGAACCGTCAGCCTTATATTTGCTTCTAAAATTAATAATTTCTAAAATTCATAATTCAGCTTGTTAAAATTAATTTACACTTATAACAGGATAGATTTACTGAGCCCGCTTCCCCAAAGACCAAGTCCAGCCGGAATGCCAATGGCAGCATTGTGTCCGATGACGGTGCTGTAGGCAGCAAGGGGGGCAGCAGCTGCAATCAAAGGAGCAGCAGCAACAGCTGGAGCGGCGGGAGCAACTGGTGCAGCGTAGGGGCTTGCTATCATGGCGGCAGCAGGGGCACTGAGGGCGGTACCGGGTTCGTTGGTCTTGACAGAAGCTCTGAAGCCCAGGGCGTCAGCGACGTAATCCACTCTGCGAGCTCGGCCATCGATATCAGTGATGGTGTAGGCTCCTTTCTTGTTTCCGAGGGCGTCTCCCATTTCATCTCGGGAATTAGTAGCTCCGAGACCGTTGGCAATATCATAACCAAAAGCATAATTTCCTAGTGCCTAAATGAAAAATATTACTGTTAGTTCCAACAACGCTACAGTTGGTCAAATTAATTAAATGCTTAAACTTGTGTTAACTTCATGTGGTTGTAGAACACCTGGTTATTTGGATCTGCATATTTGAAAAGGGAAGACTGACATCATTTGACTTGTAGTGAATTAAGATTTCGAGAAGAAATATTATCTAGTTTAGGATTGAAAATGCTACTGTACAGTGGTGGCCAAAATTGTGGACACTTTTGGAAATTTTTATGTTTTTGAACTTTGTATGCTTATAGAAAATGTTGCGTTACACAAAATTCAAACTTGTATATATCATTTTAAAGAGAATTTATTACTGAATTCAATACAAAACACAAAACTCAATTATTTGCAATACAAAAATAGTTATATGTACTTTAATATAAATAAAAAACACAGTTATGAAGTGGTTTGTAATGTCTAGCTTTCCTGGCCAATCACTGTTTCTTGTTCTGAGAACCAATCAAATGTTCATAACTGCCAGTAGAAGCTGAATCATGTTTACACTTGAAACAATTCATTATTTTGCTTTGTTCTGTAGAAGAAGGACCTGTTTCTTATACACTGCAATTACAAGTAGGAATTTTCGTAAAAATTTTTAATATTTAGTCAAGAAGCAATGACATCAAATAAATGCACTGAATTTATGCACTGAATGCGCATAAGTAACTGAATGCGCATAAATCTAAGTCTTGATGTTGGACTTAGTTGGAGTAGATTGGACACCTAGAAAGAGATGTAATATTATTGTGTTACGAGAAAGTGGTCTTTCCTATGCTAAAATTGCAAGACAGGTGGGTGGTTCAGTGACTACATCTGGAGTCCGAAAGTTTTGTTTACGATATCAGGAGACAAATTCAAAAAAAAAAACAAAGAAGGAAAAGGCCGAAAAAGGTGCTCCACATCTATTGATGACAGAAGAATAAAAGACTATGTCTCCAAGATAGAAAATGTCATCAGCGGCCATCAGAAGTGATCTGAATGTTTGCTGGTGTTTCTGTCAGTTCAAGAACAATCAGGAGAAAATTAACAGATGTTGGACTGAGAGGTAGAATTCCACGAAAAAAGCCTTATCTTAATTTTCAGCAACGAAAAAAAGACTACACTGGGTAAAGGAACACATTAATTGGACAGATGATCAGTGGTCACAAGTTATATAGAGTGATGAAACTAAGATATCGTTATTCGGTAGTGATGGAGGAAAATATGTAAGACGTAGAATGGGAGAAGAGCTACATCCTGACTGTATTTAAGCAACTGTGAAGAACCAAGTTAGTGTTATGATTTGGTCATGCATGTCAGCAGATGGTATTGGTCGCCTTCATGTCATCGATGGGACATTGAATGCCAGAATATACATTGACACTATTCTAGAACCAAAACTTCTACCTGCCATCAGAGATCTCTTTCCCAATAATGTTTCGTTTATTTTTCAGCAGGATTCTGCTCCTTGCCACACGGCTAAAATATCGAAAGAGTGGTTTCGTACAAAGAGCATTAAATTGTTGTCATGGCCAGGAAACAGTCCTGACCTCAATCCTATCGAAAATTTGTGGCACCCATTTGAAAACTCTTGTCCGAATAAGGTGCCCATCAAATAAAAGGGAACTAATTGAGGCTGTAATTGCTGCCTGGCATCATGTAATAACGAAAGAAGAGCTTAAAACTCTTGTCAGCTCAATGAAACGTCGATGTGAAGCTGTAATCAAAAATAAAGGGTACCCTACTAAGTACTGATAACTCACTGCAATCATCACTATCTAATGTATATCGATAACTATTATCGTTTAAATTTTTTGTATTGCAAATAATTGAATTTTGTGTTTTGTGTTGCATTCAGTAATAAATTCTCTTTAAAAATGATATATACAAGTTTGCATTTTGTGAAACGTAATGTTTTCTATAAGCATACAAAGTTCAAAAACATAAAAATTTCCAAAAGTGTCCACAATTTTGGCCACCACTGTATGTTATCTTAATCATGGAGATTACAGAAGATTAAATCGTTCGAGAAGCTATCGAGAAGATGCTTTCAGGATATTCTCCAACTCAGGTAAAAGCAAAGAAGAAAGACAGATTAAAAGAGCCTTCTTGTTACTAGTATTATCTTGTACTTCAGGAATACATTTGTGCTAAATATGCTAAAATTTCTTAATGCAGTTTTGATTACTTTTATACGAAAAGCATATACATATTTACTAACAGCAGCTTCGCTGCCAGCCTTCGTCTGGCTTTTAAATGTACCGGAAAAATTGCTGAAGGCAACACCAAACGTTAAATTTAAAAACTGCTTATAATTTTACTCTGCAGAACAACTTCATAAACAAGTTATTACGTATAACAAAATTACTATGAAATAAGCAATATCCCTTAATACAAATATTTATTATCCTAATAAATAAATTAACCAACTTCCCTTTGCAAAATCTTAAGAACTCAAATGGTATAAAGGAGGTTAAGGACTTTGTTTCCTAAAAAAATCACTCAAAACTTTTCAGTATCTTAAAGACAGTGAAATGAGCAATAAATAATATAAAAGAATACAAAAAACAAAAAGTTCTGAAAAGCAAAGTATAATTAATGATGTTTCATCTTATATTTTCAAGAGAAAAAAATTACAATGAAATATGCTATATCCCTTAATACAAATATTAATTATCCTAATAAAAAAATTAACCAACTTTCCGTTGAAGAAAAAAAAAAAAAATCATGCAAAACTTTTCACTATCTTGCACATAGTGAAATAAGCATAAAATAACATGAAAAAAACTCAAAGCAAAAAATTCCGCGCAGAATTTTACTCTGCAGTACAACTTTATCAAAAAAAATGTATTATAGATATATAAAAAAATGACAATGAAATATGCCAATCTCTTAAAAACAGTGACATAAAAAATACGATGAAAAGTTGTTGCCGAACCCATATTTCTAAAAGAATGAAACTGTTCAAAATGACGGGATTTCATCAAAAATCTATCAACAACAATAAGACAGGAAAATTGTTGCGAAAATCACATTTTTAAAGATGTAAGAAGTGTACTCGGAAGCTTCATTTAGAATTTTTTTTTTAAAAACACAAAATATTATCATTTTTCCAAAATTCTTTTTGTAAAAGCAGTGGCAAGGATAAAAGTTTAACGTGTACAAAAATCAAAGAAAAATAAACTGTACCTTTTTAAAAATAAACTTTCTTAGAAAAAATCCCGTTGAAAAGGTATTAAGCTTACTTTGTTAAATAATACGTATTTAATCATTTATTGAACCTAATTTATTTTAAGTTGTAAAACTAAGGCCTATTTTAAGAGTGAAAGGAGGTAGGAGATTCGCTTTCATAGCCGTTTCAAATGCCAATCTAAAAAAAAAAAAAAATTTAACCGGGGTTTGGAACTTTAATAGTGGCAACACAGCTGAAAAAACGCTACGCAACAAAACCAAAGAATATCGCGTATACCACACGTCAACTACATACCTACCTTACCTCTCAGCAAAAAGACTCGTCCTGCCTACGTCACGCGCATGCGGAGTGACGCGAAGAACGGATCCTTGTATTAGCTCGCGGTCTAAAGTAAGTGTTGTCAGTATGTTTTCAAAACAAGAACAACGATGTTGGATAAAAATTGAATGTGACAGAGGTCGTACAGCACGGCACAGTGTCATCAAGGGCTTCAAGAGGCTTGCGGGGAATCTGCATTGCCTTACAGAACCGTAGCAAGATGGGTGAAAGCATTCAATGAAGGACGCCAAAACGTGGCAGACATGCTGCGGCCAGGTCGTCCGAGTGTCAGCGATGCAGACGTGCAAGCTGTTGCCGCACTAATGGACAGTGATCGCCGCCAAACGATTCGTCAGCTGGCCGGACAAACAGGATTAGCGCATACGACTGTGCTGCACATTCTGAAGGAACGCCTGTCCATGAGAAAAATTGCTTCACGATGGGTTCCACATCAATTGACGGAAATGCAGAAATGGCTACGATACGATGCTGCCCGAACCCACCTGGAGCGCTATGAGCGCGAAGGAGATGCTTTTTTACGGCCGTATCATTACGCTGGATGAGACTTGGGCCCGATCGTACCAGCCAGAACTGAAACGCCAATCAAACGAATGGCGTCATCACGGGTCACCACGACGTTCGAAATTTCGTCAGAACCCCAGCAATGTGAAAGTTATGGTGATTCTCGTGTACGACTGTGATGGTGTCATCCTAACGCATACCGTTCCCCCACAGCAGACCGTCACTGCGCAGTATTACTGCTCATTTTTGGAGCACAATCTCCGACCAGCTTTGAGAAAAAAAACGGCGACACTTTCTGCAGAACGCTCCTCTCATTTTGCATGACAATGCTCGGCCGCATGCAGCGCAAGCTGTGACTGATTTGTTCAAGCGATGGGGCTGGGAAGTGCTTTACCATCCACCATACTCCCCAGATCTAAGCCCTTGTGACTATGACTTAATTCCTAAGATGAAGGAACCACTTCGTGGCACTCGCTTCCAAACTGTTCCTGAGATTCTTGCGGCAGTAGAACCGGTCCATTCAAACTATCAACAAAACAGGCGCTGCTACAGGTATTCTGCGACTTCCACATCGTTGGAAACGGGTTGTACACAATGCTGGCGACTATATTGAAGGACTGTAAAACATGGTGACATGAATCACTTTTGTATTCCTTGTAAATAAATAGTTGCCACTATTAAAGTTCCAACCTCGTAATTCCCTTCGATGTTTTCAATACATCCAATTTCGTAGCCGTGGGTCTATTAGCTTACGCGTTGCGCGAACGAAAGACACGCACACACACACAGACAGACTCTTTCTTTTATTATATGTAGAGATAATTTTCGGAATAATGCTTAGAGCAAAATAAATTGTATAACTGAATATTAAATAAAGAATTAAATTAATGTTAAAATTTATATAAACATGATGGTTTAGGTATTTAGTTATGGCCATACAAATAAATAATCTATACAGAATTTTACGGCAACAAATCACTACCTCGCGTAAAACTGATACACGTTAAAACACTAAAAGACAAGTTATCGGCAGAACATTTAAGTAGAGCAGACGTAATATGCATTTTAAATCTCTGCTCATTTAGCTGTCACACCGCATACGTGTTTGTAGACAGACTTTGAGAAAGCAATGAATGAAACGACGGAAAATGTTACTTTTCTCCAGGTGTATTTTGATCAAACAAAGTGGAAACTTTACATTTAAAATGCAAACATTTCAATTTATTTCCTCGAGTTCGTGAGCCAATAAAGAGAAGATTTCATTCTTTTTGCATACAAAATGATGCTAACGGTAACATATTGAATGAAATTTTTCTTGAGTTTTAAATTTCGATCCTTTAATTTGTATTTTAGATATTTTGTTTGCCAAAATCTATTGAAAGTATGCACAGAATAACTATTTTAAATGCAGTACATACTTTGTGTATGGAATTTCTGCTATAATATCACAGATTTTAAGCTTAAATGAATATTTTATGGCAAATAAACTATAAATTTAAAAAAATCTGGAGAATGAAGAAAAACTTGTCTGCACCATTTTAAACAAATACTTGTGAAAATATTCTAAATTAAACAATAATCAGATATAAAGGAATTTCTAATATGCAAATAACAGTATTTCAGCTACCAAGACTCTTAACAAGTTTAATAAAACTTGATAGTAAAACTTGCTAATAACAAGTACACTGAGATTTTTAACCTCCAGAAAAGAAGGGCAAATGTGGAAGGAAGAAAGGAAAACAACTCCCAAATCTGCTCGACTTCTACTTCGAAATACTATTATTAATTCAACAAAAACTAGCAAAGACCTTAAAAGAGATCTGTTGTCTATTGGTACTGGTATTCTTCTCTAAATGTGACGTATAGACTTCTCACTCCTGATCGGAAGGCGACGAAACAGGCTGATTAAAAAAGAACTTTTGATGCATCAAATGAAGCAAAAAAGATTATTGTGGGCCACAAATTACAAATCCTCGAGCATAAATGACTGAAAAGCGTCATTTTCAGCGATAAGACTCTTTCATTTGCTTGTGGTTGCACATATAACGTTGTTAGTCGAAGTATGGTAGAATCAATAAGACCTCAGCATATCCAGCAAACTGTTAAATGGATTCAAAAACAAGCATTTTGGGTTTTTTACTGAATTAATATGTTTTTTTTCGATGACATTGGAAGTCCAGTTCATATTGGTGGAATGATGAATTAATAAGAGACTGTAGGAATGTTTAAACGAAGAATTGTGTCATTCTCGGAAACCTACGTAGGGACATTTTAGTATGACTTAATTGCATGTTACAGTTCGAAATCTTCAAAAGGTGCACGCGGAAAAATAAAATCATTTTGCTAAATTGATCTGGAAATTCACTAGCTTTAAATCTGATTGAAAAATTGTAAGATAGTATTTTCAGGGAACATATTAGCAAAACGGATTATACAACAAATATGGGCGTAATAAACCTTAAAACTGTGGCTCCATGACAAAGAAGTTAAAAACATATGTTTGTAGAATTAATGCCTTGTAGAGTCAAAGAATTGAGTCAATGGAGCATTCTAGAAGTCATTTCTGTTAAAGGAGGACAAATTGCCTATTAATTTTATAATTATCACAGTATATGAAGGTGCGTACATAAATTATCAGAACATCGCTTTGACCCAGTTAATTTGCACACTAATAGTACTAATTTAACACTTACGATATGTTCAAAATTTTTAGTCCAAAGGGGCTTTGTCCCTGAAGGACTATTGTTTTCGTTTTGCGATTTTGCGCTTGGTTCACTATCTGAAATGTCTGTTTCAAACTTTTCAAACTGTTGCCACTACCAATACTGTTAGAGTCCTACGTTATATTTAAAGAAATTAAATAATAAAGAATATGCATAAATGTATGCATGTTTCTTGCGTTGCGAGAAAACAACTTTACCTAGAGCCATCCAATTTTGACTGACGTAATCCTACTGCGAATATGGGCATCTGGAAATCCAAATTTGAAATTTGGAATTTATGTTATGATCGGTTTCATATTTTGTAAAACTTTAACGCAATTTTGATTAACAAACTCAACGATTTAAAAACGAGCAATGGCAACATTCTACAGGAGGGAAAATATCCTTTTTATCTCCAGCTCGCGGAACTGTGTATGGGAAATTCTAAAGAAGTGCTCATTTTAAAATTATTTTGCGACACTGCTGTTGAGGCCCACCAGCGGCCGAGTGGTAAAGTCGCTGAACACTGGTAGTAAACTGGAATTTTAAATTCTGTTGTTGTGTTATTCTGTTGTTGGTCCGAGGTTCGAAACCCGCGAACGGGCTGGCTGCATGGGCGTTTTCGTGGTTTTCCCCATGTGTAACGTGTATACGAGCCAGTTTCCCTTAGAAAGTCCTCCACGAAGGCATTCCTCCTCTTAGGCAGATAGCCCTCGAGGCTTTGCCATAATACACACACACACACACGACACTGCTGTTGAACTGAATTTTATGGCTTAAGTGCAAAGAAGATGATAATAAATAAATAAAGGTAACACACAAAACGTTAAAAAAACGCCTCTTTGGACGTAATTTAAAATCTGAAACCTTTCAGATTTTTTAATTTTTTTAGTGTGTGAATATTAAATTATTTACTTCTGATTAATACAAAAGCTTCACTTTAATTCTGTTAGTGTATCACTTTAGGTGCTGGAACATGTGATCAAAATATCTTTCACTATATAAGCGTTTTAGGCAATTCTGCTTCATATAAAAACTATATACTGATTATTGATGCGTCGAACTACATATATGCACCAGGTACATAGGTTGTATTTAATTACTTTTTTATTACTACGAGTTATGCGTACTTACATCTTGTTGCCTTGAGCTGGTACTGACCCCAGTACTGATGATGGGAGCAGACAGAATAGCGGCGGCGTTGGCAGCTGCAAGTGCAGCGCAAAAGATGGCAATCTAAATATAGAAAGAATTTTTGTATTATAATATTTCAGTAACAACGGATTTGTACTTATTTCAGAGTAAATTTTAATTGAATTTAATTAAAGTACTCAGCAAGAAAAAATCAAATGCATTATGGAATGTAATAAGTGGGTTATTTTAAACTTGTCTTTTAAGACAGTTGAAAAAGGAATTCAATTTTATTTCAGCAAATATTTTGCTACTAGTTTAGATATTTAAAACATCACTATTGCAGACTCGTCAGAGAAAAAGCGAGCTTATAACCATCTGAATTTATAATACAGTGTTCAAGAATGGCAAAATGTATTACTTTTATTAAAATGTTTCATGAATAGAAAATGAAAATGGTGGATGTTAGGAGAATTATCTACGAATAACTTCTGAGACTTCATTGCAAATTTTATTTTAATATCTTCAACAAAAGGCACAGAGAACTCTATTGTTAAATTTGTGAAAGGAATATGATTTACACTAGATTTATTTTTGATTATGAATGTGTATATATAGTTCCTTAAAAGTAGTCATCAATAAATGTTTCAAGTAACATTCGTGAAAAAATTTTGAAAATATAATATACTTTTCCGCAGAGAAAATATAATGTACTAGATACATGGAGGCCTAAGAATAAATCTGACTGAAATTAGTTCATAAAATTCAGAAAGTAAACTGGAATTTTAAACACTGTGGATGATTCTGTTGTTGTTGTTATTTATGCTCACTTGTCGTGACGTAGTCAGCCCAAGGAATTCCTCGAGGCAAGGAGCACAATTTACGCCTGTAGTTGGCAACAGCCCCGAGCACCATACAGGTGATAGTACGATTTGGCTGAATTCCGCCCCCAATTTTGATGGACGGAACGAGTCTGAGAGTCTCCACCCCTCTCCCCTTTCACTTTTGGCTCGCCGCGTATTTAGAGAGCCGCTGCGCCGCACCGATATACATTTACAAACATCCATGCCTTTTCCGAGATTCGAACCCGGGACCTTCGGCACGGCAGTCAGCGATGCTAACCACTATACCAGTTGGGAGATACGGATAATTCTTATTTTATCTAACAAGATGCTGAAAATGCGATATCTTTGAATCCGCGGCTTCGAACAGCGAGAGAATACATCAGCCCAAGATTAATAATTCATCAATATTTGATTTACTGCATAGTTACATAGCAGTTAATTACAATTAATCTGCTCTTAACTTTTAATCTCTTCTTAATACATAATCCTTTTCTTACATATTAGTTTTTCCCCCCGAAACTTGCAGAGATTAGTAATGAATTGTTAAAGTTCCTATTTTTATAACTTAGAGATAACTCTTATGTGTCTTGAGGTATTTTAATAAACAAACAAAGAAATTCATTTTCACAATATTTATATCAGAATGCTTTACTTGTTTGCTGCTTAATCAGATGTGAGGTTTATATTATTTTTACTAATAGTTATTTTAATTTGCTAGTCTTTTGTGTCATTCATTTATCTCCCGTTTCCGCGCCGGGATGTAATGAGTTATAGTCAATGTGAGAGTTTGTAAACTAAAGTAACGAAAACGTTAATCAGAGCCTGTTCGCTACTGAGTGTGCATGATGTTGTTTCTACTAGCTGTTTGAATTCTGAATCTCTCGGCTTCGCATTTTTGCCACCAGCTTTCAGTATCCGGCCGGTGTAGGTTTCTGAGTCAACTTGCTAAGTTAAATTAATTTATATAGTTTTGAACTATTTATCTTTAAATTTAGTTTAGTTTGCTATGATCTTTGTCGCCATGAGTAGATTATGGATTTGTCTGTAAATAACTTATAAGGTATTTCTCCGGCTTTCTTAGCATGCCCTCTTAGTGTAGTGGTCAGCACACTCGGCACATACTCGAGGTGTCCGTGGTTCGAGTCCCGGTGAGGGCAATGCTCATTTTTCATCTCTCCTGCTTTAAAAAAATACACAATGTCTCTGTTACCGTGAAAGACCGAAATTGTAGAATGTCGACTTTCACCGGAGAATATCAACATTCACCAAATACGTCGGTGAAAGACCGAGTATTTCACTACATTCTCGTATATTCGGACCCTCACCGGTGTATGTCGACAATCACAGATATGCTCTGGTGAAAGTCGAAAAGAGAGGTCATAAAGTGCCTAAATAGTTTAAGTTGTTGCAATAAATAAGATTTGAATCCCATAATTTAGTAAGTTTTTTATGACTGTTATTTTATTTTCTCATTTAGAGCGTACTGTATAATTAAGTAAGTTTTTAACTTGTATTATTTTCCTTTCTCATTTTGAAATGTGTTGTGTGTTTTAGGCTCTGATGTTCTTAGGTTCTTATTTCAAGTCTCGAGTGCGTTTATTCGCGACTGAATGACGGAGAAGAAAATTATAATATTGTTATATGTTCAACATTCACCATTAGTACATGGTGAATGTCGACATTGACCGGTGTAAGTCAGAAATAGAGTATTTGCAAAATATTTTGGACATACACCAAGAGACTATGTGAATGTTGACATTCACCGGTGAAAGTCGACATTCCCCAGTTTTCGGTGTTTCACCGTAACATCTCTACAAACTGAGATCAACAAAAGGGTCCTTTATACCTTCCCCCTGTTTTACTTATCTTCTATTCTTAGCCATAAATTACCAACAGACTAAGTCTGTTGGTATCTAGTAGCAGTATATGCTAGCCACGGATACTAGGCGTCACACAGAAAATTTCCAGTTGTTCGTAATATATATGTTAAATTTTAAAATCTTAAATCTGTTATAAAATTACAATTTCTTTAATCAAGAATATCTAACCTAGTAGACCTATCTTCGGAAAAATTATATACTTTTTCGCCTCTCCATTTTCTTTCAGTAAAATATTTCAAAAAGGTTTGAAAAATTCCAAGGGAAATATTTTACAATACGCAGAAGCAATTTGAATAAGCAATTTAAGCGCAATCTATTGATCACAATGTTGCACGTAGACAAGTCTGTAAATTATGCAACACTTAAAAAGCTTAAAACTATTTTCTCGCATTTAAGAAAAGAGTTCACTTACCTTTGCAATCATTGTTAGCGTTTGCTATCAATTTCGCAACTGGGAACACGAAAGGGAAAACTTTGAAGAGGTTTTCTTATACTCTTCAGAGGAATTCACTCTAGGTCGTAGAAGCAACGAAACATGTTAGAATGGGTGGGGCACATGTTAGGAACATTAAAAAATAAAATCAGGTTAATCCTCCGAATTTTCTTAATATGTATTCGATGAGCGCTTGAACTTGTTCCGGAATTGACAAGAATAACTACCACATGCTTATGAACTAGTTTAGATTCCTTTACCATTCATCCACGTGAAAAGCACGTGAATTATGAAACAAGATCGATGCGATTATACTGGAGTTCCCTTGAACATAGCTTTAATTGCAATTTTCTTTAAGGTAACTATTATTGTTCTTCCCGTAACTGTGATTAAACATCTGAAACTTTATATAATTGTTGATTATGTATGTAAAAAAGCTAATTAAAAGCCCAGCTTCGTGAAATAGTGTGAAGTTCCATGTAAAAAAAGCAAGGTTTTAATAGAGATGATTCTTAATATTCTATAATATTCTAATTAAGGCCGTCGTGCGAAGACTTACACTCATTTAAGAAATTTAAAGATATTTTTGCAAAGATTTCCTTATACAACAATTGTGGGCAATAGATTTCATAATTTAAAGATGCTTCAAGTTATAAATCTGATTCTAGACTGGAATATAGAAAATAACCTTCAACTACAGTAAGACCTCGCTTAACGCGGTGGATACGTTCCATCAAGTAGAGCGTAATACGAAACAGCGCAAAACGAGGCTATCTTAACATGTAAATAATGGGGTTAGGGAAAGATGGATAGGAAATTGGTTAGGTATTAAATTTAATAATTTTTTTAATAAAAATAAAACCAAACATTTATTTCTTATAAAAATAAAAACGATATAAACGAATATACTTATAAAAAAACAAATAAAATTCTCAGTCAGTCAGATTATTCAGTCTATTCTGTGTTTCCAATTTTCTGCTTTTTTGTCAAGAAGGCATCTAATGTTGAATCTACTGAAGTTGCCAAATTCAATGCAGCGCTGATTTGAGATTGACGTTCACCAGAATCTAATCTTCTAATAACATGCATTTTAATTTCCAGTGAAATGCTTTTTCTGGTTGCTTTCTTTTCTTGTTTTTTTATTATCACCCATGATAAAAACTAAAGATCATAATATTTGTCACTGTATTAATCGTTATAGTATTATATAAGTTTATACTTACAATAATGTCAACAAATGTTCAAATGATAAAAATGCGTCCGGACAGCACCGCACCAAACAAGAAACACAACTACACTGTTTCGGATATATTATTTGGAAACCTAGCGCTGCGCACAATTTCAGGGAATCACCGGGAATAAAAGAGCGCTAAACCGAAACAGCGCTAAAGGAAACAGCGTTAAGCGGGGTCTTACTAAAGCTGAATGGGAAAATGCAGAAGTAGGTAGATAAAACCCGCATATGATCCAATCTCATATAACTTCTTCATCAACATATTCTTATCTGGACATGGTCCTTTCCCCACGTACTACTTTGCACGAAATTTGAGCGATTCAGACAAGTGCGTATATGGGGAAAAGGGAGACCCAGAACACTATATTTTCAAGTGCCAGCTCACAAAAGAGCTACACTGCAAAGGAAGGTCACAAATTACGCCTGAGTACATTAAATGCATGCTAACGATCCCTCAATTACAACAAAAGGTTTCCTTGATTATGAAGAAACTTTTCGCATATAAAAGAAGACATATGTCAAGGTGTTATGACATCTGTTTAAATACCTCTTATTCCATAACTTGCAATATTAATGCAAGATTTCAGAAATATTGCAAATGTCTGAAACAGGCTAAATATGGTATGAATAGTTTTTACAAAATAATTACATTAAGAATTTGAACTGTATTAGGACATGAGGGGGAAAAATCTTGTAATAATTAAATCATTAATTAAAAAAAATAATATACGACTCTATTAGATATATTAGTCTAAATGTAAGTACTACGCGATCTTCTAATATATATTTTATGTGTTTATGATACATTAATGAACAAAAATAATAATGTAAGACTTCAGTGCTGATGCAGTTGTGTGTAACAAGTTAAAAAATGAAAGGAAATGTATTAATAAGATATTTCGCCTTAGTAATTCAACTAAGTATAATAAGATGCACAAAAAAAAAAAAAAAAAAAAAAAAAAATCTTCCCTAATTAGTTTCTTAAAAAGATGTTTATTATAATTCGATATAACTAGATATACTAATGTAAATATATTGTTTGTATGAAGTACAATGTACAATGAAAGTTTGTATGTATGTTCGAAGTAATTATGTTATTTCAATCTGCCATAATCCAACTTTTGTTAATAGGTCAATCTCTTTGTAATAATTGTATACTGTGTCTTTGTAATTGTATATTCAATACGTAAGCCTAGTATTGATGTAAAATTACTATGTAAATGTCTTGGTATGCTAGCATCCGATGCGGGCCAACTAAAAGCCCAGCGGGGTACAGTAGTGCAGCGGGGCAACACTTGTAAAAGTCACTGACGAAGTTCTGGTGCTCCGTCCACTTTTCCCTGTCCCTGTCCCTGTATATATTCTTGTAATATAATCCAAGCATCTAAACAACATTTAATTGTTATTAATAACTCCGTAATACAGTGATAAGTAATTAAAATTCTCACAGATATTCTCTGAAAATGAAATCAGAAAAAGACGTTCACAGGAGGAGAAAACTGAAGACAGTTTAAACAGAAAAGATGAACCGTTTGCTAAATTAAAAATTCAATCGCTGTTCACTCGAAATAAATATTTACTATTCATCTTCACATACTATAAATATTTATGAGTAGTTTAAAACAAAAAGATAAAAGCAAAATTACTATTTCTCAAAACATCAAAGAACATTTTAATCACCTACCTCCCAAAATAATAATAAATAAAAAAAAATCTGAAAGCTTTCAGATTTTATGTTAAGCCAAAGGCGAATATTTTTTTTTTCGTTTTGTGTGTTGCCTTTATTTATTAAATACAATTCAGTTCAGCAGCAATATCGCAAAATAATTTAAAAAGAGTATATTTTTAAGAATTTCGGATACACAGTCTCGCGCGCTGGAGATAAAAATGTTTTTTCTCTACAACGTTGCCATTGCTCGCTTTCAAATCCTTGACTTCGTTAATCAAAAATTTATTAAAGTTTTACAAAATATGAAATCTATAATAAAATAAATTCCAAATTGGGATTTCCAGATGCCCATATTCGAGTGGAGGAGTACGCTATTCAAAATTTTGATGTCTCTAGGTACCGATGTTCTTTCACTGTGCGAGAAACGCACATACATTCATTCAGATTCTTCATAATTTAATTTCTTTAAATATTACACAGGGCTCTAATATTTTGTGGCAACAATTTGAAAAGTAAACCGACATTTATAGTGAACCAACGCAAAATGCCAAAACGAAATTAAAATCCCTTCTGTTCCAACACTCTTTGGGCTAAAATCTGAAAGGATTCAGATTTTAACGGTCGCCGAAAATGGTTTGTTAAGGTTTTCTTTACCCTCTCGCAGAGTTCTCACAGATACTCTCAGTCTTTACCAGTCTATTACACTCTCTCATACCAATCCATTTCGTTTTGCAGTTTTAACTTTATTATTAAGGACAATTCCCTTCGCACTTCTAAAAGTCTAAAAAATAGTTAAGCTTATTTATTGCGAAACGACGGAAAATGGATCATCATTGTAAAACAAAGCAGTCGACGAAAAATACAAAAGAAAAAGAATGCGTGGGATAACAGTAGTGATAGCAAATGATATTATTTAACGCGTGTGTCGTATTTGCGCAATGCTTAGGGAAAAAAAAAATTGTAAATGTTATGTGGTTTCCACACCAAAATTGTAAGAAACCTTAGTGTAAACAAAGATTATGAAGACATCTAATTTCAATCAAGAGAGCTTCCTCTTTTACACGCAGAGATGAATCGCTGCAGGCCTCGTATCTTGAAAACTTGGTATCTTATAAACGATATTTAAAAATGCGGTATCTTGGTATCTTTAAAACGACATCTAAAAGGTTTTGCAAACAATCTATATTCGCTTTTGATGTAAAATAACCTTTTGTATTATTTTTTGACTTGGAATATACCTTAGTTTAGTTAATATGTATATACCAGAAATATTCTTTGCGTAAGAAAAGTATTACTTCCATTTCAAATCTATGCAATCCGAAGATTTTAGACATAGTAATAATTGTATATGGATATTATTGTTAATGAATGTACTGAAAGATTATTAATTTGTAGAGTTTCTCATCTACCTCAGAAAATAATTAAATAATAATTTTAATAAAATAAAACTTACGATTTATGTAATGTTAAGTAGCTAAACATCTTTCCGAAGTAACGCTTATATACTTGATTTCATGAACTTAAAATTGAAATTAATGCAAAATTTTTAAACAATTCATCTAGGAACTTTCAGGATGTAAATAAATGCATTGTTTTCTAACTTTAGAAGTCACACCTCTTTCAAAAGTGGACCAAAATTAATACATTTATTCCGTCTTACCAGAAAAAATACTTGCATAAAATAATGAACTTCTTTTAATATCTTTCCAACAACTATTGCAGAATACCAAATAAAGATAGATATGTTATTTATATTTATTGTAAATTAACTAGGTTAAAAATAAAATACGTTATTTCAGAGCATTTTTGCATTGTAAATAGCACATTCTTTTTGCAAGGGAAAAACAATAATAAACAAAACAAAGAAACTAAACAAATATGATATTGAATATTTTAATAATTATTTAAGATTTCTGATTTTACAAATAGCTTTTAATTAAAAAATTTAACAATAATTCGATTTTAACTGCGTAACAAAAGTCGGAAGCCGTGAGTAGCTTTTAAAAGCCCCACTTCACGGCTTTTTTCTTTTTAAGTGTTTAGTTTTAGTGTTTAACAAATATGATATTAACTTCAATTTATTTCAGGAATCTTTCCTCTCTCCCATACAAATAACCTCCTAACTGGAACTTTTATTAAAATTTTCCGATAAAAGTACTATATAACCGTTTAACTTCGAAAATGCTATTATGAATTACTTAAAATGATCAATATTCCAAAATTAAAGCGCGTGAAATATGCTTTGGAAAATAAAAAAAAAATAAAATCTGAAAGCTTTCAGATTTTACATTACGCCCAAAGTGGCGTTTTTAAAAAAGTTTTGTGTTCTACCTGTATTTATTAAAAATCATTTTCTTTGCACTTAAACCACAAAATTTAATTCAACAACAATATCGCACGAGCATAGCTTTAGAATTTCCGATATACAGTCTCACGCCCTGGAGATAAAAACGTTTTTTTTTCCGTACAGTATTGCCATTGTCGCTTTGAAATCGTTGAGTTGGTTATTCAAAAATTCGTTAAGGTGTTACAAAATATGAAATCGATAATAAAACAAATTTCAAATTCCAAATTCGGGCTTCCAGATGCCCATATTCATTGAAAGATTACGGTATTCAAAATTGGATGGCTCTAGGTACCGTTGATTTATCACAATGCTAGAACATACATTTATTCAGATTCTTCATTATTTAATTTCTTTAAATATAGCACAGGGCGATAATATTTGGTGGCAACAGTTTGAAAAGTGAACCGCCATTTATAGTGCACCAACGCAAAATGCCAAAACGAAACTAATAGCTTTTCTGGGCTAACGGCCTTCGGTCTAATAAAATTTATATTTAGAAGGCAATGTTAAATTTTTTTAATAAGTTTTGCGATAATTACTCTCTGTTATTGCTGCACGGAAACAATTACAGCTATCAAATAGCTAAACGAGTCAGCTAAACAAGTCCCGGTTGTAGCCTAGATTAATTGATTATTACTTCAAAATGTATGATGCAATATTATTCTTTTGTTGCCATATGGCAACTCCTATATTTACTAAACATGCTTCAATGTCATTCAACGTATAAAGGGCGGGGTCTGAAATTCACATCTAAACCATCACTTCCTACATCATTTACATTCTGCATATTCAAGGTATCGAAAAGAGTATATAAGTAACTACCCCCCGTCAGTAAATCATAATCTTATTGAGTAGATCAATACTCCCTGAACTCCTGAAAATGTTTGCTAAGGTAAGATTTCTTTATTTGACAAAAGTACTGTTTTGTTTACTATTTAACTTTTTACTTAAGGTTACACAGAACATCTTTTCAAAATGAATGTCCCCAAATAAACCTAAAGCTTAAAACTATGTTTTTTAAAGTAACTGTCTTTTAAGGTATTAAAACACTTATTAAATAACAAGAAAACTGAAAATCTTATTTAGAATGCCTTTTTTTAATGTCAAATAATGCATTAGTTTTGTGAAATTTAAATCTTATTTACGAAACAGAATTTAAAAATTTTGTAATTCTGACACCAGTTCACTTGAGAGTTCTTGAAGATGTTACTTGTAAAATTTAAAAAAATAGCCTAGAAAAGAACATTTAAAACAGAATAATTAAATTAATTTTATATTTCTAATTATAAGTGCAAAGGGGCTTTGTTCCTGAAGGACTATTGTTTCCGTTTTGCGATTTTGCGTTGAATAACTATAAATGTCCGTTTGAATTTTCAGACTGTTGCCACCAGTCCTGCATTATATTTGAAGAAATTAAATAATGAAAAATCTGCATAAATGCATGTAAATTTCTCGCATTGTGATAATACAACTGTACATAGAGCCATCGAATTTTGAATGACGTAATCATGTTACGAATATGGGCATGCGGAAGACCAAATTTGAAGTTTGGAATTTGTTTTATTATCGATTTCATATTTTGTAAAACTTTTAACGAAATTTTGATAAACATATTTAAGGATTTCAAAGCAAGCCATGGCAACGTTGTACAGATAAAAATGTTTTATCTCTAGCGAGTGAGACTGTGTATCAAAAATTCTAAAATATGCTCAATTTAAAATTATTTTGCGATATTGCTATTGAACTGAATTTTATGGTTTAAGTGCGGAGAATATGATATTTAATAAATTCAGGTAGCACACAAAATATAAAAAAAGCCCCTTTGTGTGTAATTTAAAATCTGAAACCTTTCGAATTTTTTTAACTCATTTTAATTATTTGGTTTTAATATATAATTTTTTCGTGTTTTTTTAAATATGTTGAAATTGTCTTTGTTTCTTTTCACTTTCCGAATAAAAGAAAATCACAAATCCGAAAAATCATGATATGTTTTCAGTTTTAGATTTATGAGTTGTAAGAAATTTTTGAACTCAGTTAATAAAATAAAAGTCGATAGAAGTAATTTTTATTTTATCTTTAATTGATTTTAATTCATGAAAACCATTACTTTCAAATAAAGGTAAATAGTTTTCTTACGAGTCTTACAAATTTCTGCTAAAAAGATCATTAACAATTTTTAAAGTTTACCGTTATCTTCTCTTTTGTAAAATGTGGTAAATTACCTCGTAATTGTTTTATTAATAGGAATAATCCTTCTTCTATACTAAGAATTAAATAAGTACTCATAAACTGCGTTGTAAACTTCTAGTCTGCTCAATAAAAATATATAACAGAAACTTCTAGTCTGCTCAATAAAAATATATAACAAAAACTTCTAGTCTGCTCAACCAAAATATATAACAGGAACTTCTAGTCTGCTCAATAAAAGTATATAATAGAAGACCAAACTATTTTGAACTGAATTTTTTAATTGCAGACGACTAATTTTGCAACAATGTAACAGCGTCATAGCGTAAAATGAAAATTCTACTTTGTAGATTTTGCAATGTTTTTCTAATGAAGCTATGCAATATTATGAATCTTTTAATCTCAATTTCGCTATTATTGCCGTTAGTTAAATTATAGATTAAGTTACTATTATTATGATTATAGCTTAAATTCTTGCAGTTTAGAAATAAGTTAGCTTAAAATGAAAATTAGCTAAAACAAGTACGTTTTTAAGATGGACGTAAGCAAGTAGGACGATAACACGAGGCAAAGTCATGCTCGCTTCCAATTCTGAGATGTTTTTTGTTTAGGTTAAAATAAAACTCCGAATAATGATTATTGGAGAAGTCAAACAACAAGAAGCGTTATATTTGTAAGCTAGTCCTGAACAACGCTGATTCTTATTGTTTGAATTCCCCAAAAATTTGTAATAATTTAAAATAAGTAAAAAATTCTAACTTAATAAAAGGTTTTGATGCATTGAACTCTATTTAAGTGTACATAGAAATAGAGTTCTAAAACATTACATGTATTGTAACGTAACGTAAGCTTCAAAATGATCGCTATATGTAGACGTCGTTGACAGATCTTATTGCTACCTCTACCTTAATATAAATTCTAAAGGTGAAAATTACCGTAACTAAAGAAAAATATGTTGTAACTAAAATCAAATACTTCTGACCACGTCTTTGAAAATCTGGAGTATTATGGATTGATAAAAATTCATTAAATTAACCTTTGAAATAATTCGGTTTTTTTCCTATTCAAAAATGACGTTTTAAATTATTTATCTAAATAAAATAAAATAAAATAAAAGCCACTTATTTATCATCAGTTACCATTTCTGGATGATGTAAATCTGTTTCTAAAATACCTATTTTCTTTCCCATTTTAAAATTACTTAATACAGGTAGATAACAAAATTTGACATTTAGCATTTCATTTTACTAAAACTGTATGAAAAGAGTCATATACTTTAATTCAAAGCCAAAGTAACGAGTCTGCAAAATCGTTGTTTGAAAAGAGAAAAAGAAAATGTCTGATGAGGACACTACGTGACTTTATAGTATGGCCTATTAAATTATACGCACTTTTTACTGGATTGAGTTTAAACCTATTTCCTCTAATTTCATTAGATTTCTCACACAATTAATGCAATTCTCACTTTGCGGAGAGGCAAAAACACATAAAAAGCTCAAAAAATCTTCATTAAAGATTTTAAAATGCAGAAAAACATAAGTGTAAAATACAGTTAAAAAAGTTTAAAAAACAATTCTTACAACTGCAATTGAAATTTCTACACACACAAAAATAAATAAATAAATAAATAAATAAAAAATAAAAATTCAATTCGGCCAGCGGGCAGCAAGTCAGATTTTTCGGGGAACAGAACTGAAAGTTTACTTTTGGTTTCACTCGGCAAAAAGACACTGAAGTTGGTGCACAAACTAACTTAATTTACTAATCTACTAAATGTTTTCAAATGTAAACAAATGGAGGTTCGGTTAGGCTTAGTGACACTTAAACAACTTTTAAATTGTTGATAATTCAACATCTATTGCATGCAGATTAACTAAAGGGACTAACTTAAGATTAGTTCTTAAGCAATACATAAAAACAACATAATTCAATCACTTTTAAAGCAAAACAGTTTCAACGTTCTGAGGCTACTCGTTCGTGAGTCATGCGAGTACGTGCAGACGTTACGAAAAGAAATTTCTTCTAAATCCATTGTACTATCTTTTTGAAAAAAAAAAGAGTCTTTTATTCTGTCCGTACGTGCAGATGTCATGCAAAAACATCGTTCAAATGGGTTCGAGCGCGGTCAAAATGGGTATTTTCTTCTTTGAACATAGTATAAAATGCTGAAAAATGGCATAATAGATGGATACATTTAAAACACCAAACAATTCTCTCATGATTAAGGTGTAGAACCTATGTAGTTTAAGTAAGTAACGCCTTTTTTCTGCCTATTTAAAACAGTTTTAAATGTGGATTTGTTCGGTTATAATGTCTTTATTAGTTATTTAAATTAGTGAGTTTTATAACTAAATGGAAATTATCTAAAAATGATAACCAGCTCCGGACAGTTTAGAAGATAGGACACTTGTCCTCGGAGAAGGCTTTGGATTCGATTCTCCAGCCGAAGTTCAGAATTCTACAGCATGAAATAGCAATACTACATTTCTAAGCATCGTAAGTTCCTAATCTTTAAGTTGAGAAAATGATTCAACCTGAATAAATCAAATTTAACAATTAATTTTAATAAAAATTGTTAAACAATTAATAATTATGAAACGAGCTTTGTTTATTAATTTGGAGAAACGAATTGTTTTCTTGACCCCTCAAAAAATTCTTCTTTAAATGTTACAGTTCTTAAATTTTCAAAGAATTTTCGTAAGCAAAATATTTATGTGAGTGGCGAAATAAAAAATTTTCTTACTTTAAAAAGATAAATATAGTTCAAAATTTTATTTAGCTTATATTTAGATAAGAAAACAGAGTGACACTGAAATGGCTGACATACAGTGTTTGGTTGTATTCAGTTCGTGCAATTTAATTTTAAATAGTTCTTAAAGCTGAAATAATTTTTCCTCCAGATTGCTGTTCTCCTCGCTGCTGTTGCAGCTGCTCAGTCTTCCACTTTGCTTGCACCCGGACTATTGAATGCTGGAATTCTAGCACCCTCAGCTGTCTCCACAACTTCTGCCGTTGCAATCCCTGGTGCAATCACAACTGACAACAGAATCATCGGAACTAACGGATTATGGGCCGGTTCTCCACTTTTACTCAGCAACAGAATCATTGGAAACGGCTTGATCGGAGCTTCTCCCTTTGCTCTCAGCAACGGAATCATCTCTCCTATCGGCCTCCGTAGCGCTGGATTACTCGCCGCACCCACAATGCTCAAAACTGTTCTCAAATAAACGGCTACTATGGACGTAAAATTTTCTAGCTCTATAGATGTTTATCAATCTTAATAAATTTCTTTTTGCATAGTTTGGGTTTTCTTTTATTTGATACTGACATACAAGTGCCGCGCAAAAGTTTTAGGCTAAAGATATATCTAATATTTTGCAGCTTATATATATAAGAAAAAGAGCTAGACTCTCTATATATAAGTAAATATATTAATTAAACACAAGCATCCAAAATTGAAAATAAAATAAAATTGGAATCAAAACAGGGCAATTCCCTATTAATATTAATAACTGAAACCGTGGATAAAAGGTCAAACATCGTAGCTAATCATAATCAAAATTATTATAAGAATTCATCAGTAAAATAAATCCTAAACAATTAAAACGCTATTTGGTAATATAAATAAAAACTACCATTTAATCTCCTTTGTCTGAAAACTTAATTCAGAACTCATCAGGAAAAAATTAGAGTTTCATAAAAGTCGATTAATATGTCGCGAATACATGTGTCATTCTTCTGAATCATTTGACATCAAAAACTGATGAAAGATTCAATTAAATTTTCTTAAAAATATTAAAATTTAGACTAGAAGAGAAACACGCTAATGTGGCAATCAAAATCGTAAAAACAACCTTGTATTTAGCGTAATTATATTGAAACACTCAATTGATTTCGAGGGCAGCTAAAAGTCCCTCCTCATCAGGAGAAAGAAATATATAGATAGAAGAAAACTAAAGGGGAAGGAGCCTCAGAAACACGTGGTCCTTATCAGCACTGCACGTGGTTATAACCGAAATTTTAGCCTGAAGGTGCAGTTGCCCCTCGCTCCCTATTTTTAACTTCGTTAATTCTTTGTCCTTTCTGTTACTTGTTTGATCAGATAGCCTGGCTCAGTAAAAGTAGGCGGCCAGTGTAACTCTGATTAAACCTTTAGGAAGGAACCTTTAGCTGCCCTCGAAATCGATTAAGTGTTTCAATATACTTACGCGAAATACAAGGTTGTTTTTACGATTTTGATTATTAAAATTTAATTAAAACCACAAAACCGAGTCTCAAATGTATTCCGAATTTTCCCTACATGTATGCGATCACTTAGAAAAAAGAGAAAAAGGGTAAAAAACAGTACATTATGCAAAACTGACTGCTCTAAAAAGAAAAATTGCAAAGAAACATTAAAATGCAAATCAAACTTTCAAAAGAAATTACAGATTAAGGAGTAAAGGAATTAACTTTTAAATCAAATTGTTATTTAAAAGAAACTCAAAGAATGGGTGGTCCCTAATTATGTGAACCTGAATCTTTTAATACTATGAAAAAATGAAAAACTTTACTAAAGGATTTCCATAAATAAATTGTACATAAAATTCTAAATCCAGTTTTAACCAGCTAAGAAAACAGCAAACCTACTAAAAACAAACAAAAAAAATATTAAACAAAATGTAAACTGGAGAAAAAAAAAAAAAAAAAAAAAAAAACATCGTTTTCCTAAGTACGGAGTCGTGCAAAAGAAAGTAGAATTCATAGCTCTACCCTTGGAGATGTAGAAAAGTTGAACTTCTTGGAAAAGAGTATGAAACATTCGTCTAAGCGTCCAAGACCAGACAACAGTATTTTTATGGGTTTATCCTGTTATACATATATATAACAAGATAGGTATGCCTTATCCAGTTAAACTTTGTATGTGGGAGTGAGACTTGTGAGAGTGGTCTGTGAAAAGTACAAACGACGAAGAAGGAGAGTAACAACGCATCATGGCGGCAGGTGAAACACTTCTAAAAGATAATGGCTACTGTAAAAACTTGTAGCGCGAAGACTTAACTGGCTTAAAGTTGACGAAAAAGGGAAATATATACATAATTATATGTATATATATATGTATATACACACACACATATATATATATTCAAAATAATGTAATTAAAAGTAAATTAAAAAGCCTGTGATTTGCGCTAAAGTTGCAATGTAATAAATTAATAATTCATAATAATTTGTAATAAGAAAACTTTCCATATACCATCTCCAAGGAACACAAATTCAATTTAAAACGATGAATGAAATTTTTTTTAGTCAGAATTTAAATTAGTATTTTAAATAGTAATTTCAATCTCCTTGTTTAATAAATCTGCTAAGGAAAATCTTTAATGTCAAAAATACCAAAATCAAAAGTAAATTTTAAGTTGTAAAAAAGTAGCTATTGTCATTGATTGCAGATTAATCGACTTATCAAGGAGATAAAACGATCTACCATCAATTAACAACAACTAAATTAAAAGAGAGCGTTTCATCTTACTTCGAGCCCACCAGCGGCCGAGCGGTAATGTCGCTGAACACTGGTAGTTCGGTCCGAGGTTCGAATCCCGCGAACGGGCCGGCTGCATGGGCGTTTTCGTGGTTTTCCCCATGTGTAACGTGTTACGAGCCAGTTTCCTTAAAAAGTCCTCCACGAAGGCATCCCTCCCTTAAGGCAGATAGCCCTCGAGTGCTTCGCGGTAATCTAATAAACCAAACCAAACCAAACCATCTTACTTCGAAGTAAGCATCAAATTATTTGCTAGTTCCAAACTATAAGTCACGATGAATACTCAATCCATATAAAGACATTAGTCCATTTAAGCCAAAAGAATCTTATCAAACAAAATAGCAAATAATCTTAAAATTAAAGTTTCTCATTAAGAACACAATTAATCTGAACGAGATGCTTACTTTAGAAGACATACCCCCCTACACTCTCATTTTCAAACTCACAAACAAACGTAAACACATTAGAAAATTAAAATTTAATTTAAAATCATAAGAAGATAAAAAATAATACAATCTTAAAACTAAAGTTTAAAACAAGTAGTTAATTAGAAATTTAAAAATCAAACTAGTAAATTAAAAGTAACAAACTGCTTTCAAAATTTTTAATATGAAATGACTGGAAATTCAAGTATTAAGTGATGGAAGTAAAAGGGATGTCGTAAAGTTCAGTTTTCTATTTAAGAACATTTAGCCTAATATATATATTGTAATAATAAAATTCCGTAGTCAAGAATACACTTAAAATTCTAACTGTATGTTCTTTTCAATTTTTTTTAATGGCGACGGTCTCTTATTTGAAAGTACGTGGAATTAAATCCACAGCCCCGTAGTCAAGTTGTTTTTCCCGCCTTTTCTACACGTACAGTTATAGAATGTTCTGGAGATATTTAAAGCGAACTGGAATGGCTGACGAGGCTGACGTCATTTCTTGGAAGCTCCGCCTTTCTGGAGGCTATAAAAGGACTCGCAAAGGAATATCGGGGTCTTTTCTTTAATGTAACAATGCAGTAAACTTCATACAAAAAGTTATTAGTAATTCTTTTTTATTTACTCCGGAAATAGGATTTTTGTAACTGCTATTTCTCCTGACCAATAATAATGGATCCTGTTTTTTAACTTATCGTCTGATAATTAAGCTACGACTACATCTATATTTCTTCACCAATCTATTTATTCCGGACAAAAGCTGGTACATCACATATATATATATAATTTAATATATATATATATATATATATACACATTAGGGTCAACAGTTCTCTTCTGCAGTGTAAGTGTAAGCAGTTGCATGCAAAATGTCAATGTTCTGCGGCTAATCGTTTTGAGTTATGCCAGACATCACGAAAAAAATCCATTTCGATACCCATTTTGGAACAAAGAGTCCTTTATTCTGTCCGTACGACCAGGCGTCACTTAAAAGAGTAGTCAGTAGGGATACTGGAACTGTCAAAATGAAAATTTCTGCTGAAATATGATAGCCAAAAATTTTTGCCATTATAATACTCCCTTTACTTCGCAGATGGAAGTAAAAAAAAAGAAATGCATTTGATTTATTATTAAAAATCATTCAATATTTTTATTAAATTATATAAGCTAGGACCCAATGAAGTTACATAAACTGGATTGAATAAAATCCTAATATATTTTTTCCTTTATATATTTACTATTTTAGGCGGCTGCATGAGTAAGTGTATGGTATTCGATAAAAGTGGAAAAACAATATAAATAAATTCTCTCATTTTTAAGAATACAACTTGAAGAACAATTTTCAACTCAGAAAGAGATAAAGGTAAGTATTACTCGAGAGGAGAAAAAATCAAAGAATTTACGTTTTGATTTTATGTATCTAGATGCTGACAATATTGTGCAAAATCAGTATATTTCGTTTAAACTTATGGAAGAAACTATTTATGTATAATTTGCTTAACTATCTTTACTATAGTCAGGATGACTCCAAAATACAGAGAATTCTTTTCCACTGATCCTTAAGCCTAATTCTGTACATTTTGAGTGATAATAAAATTTTAGTAAACTGCCATTCAATTTTGTAAATCTTATGTTCATTGAGTTCTAGTCAAAATAACAGTGAAATTTTTGTTTGAGAAATAGGTATAAGCAAAAATCCCATTACTCACTCTTTCTCTTACCGTAAACTTTAGCAGAATATGCAGTTGCCTGTTAAAGTTAGATGCTTGCTTAGTGTGATTGTGGTTAATGATATTATTCGAATATTTTTATACGAATTGCAGAAAATTCAGGCTTTTTTGTACGAAACCACGGAAAATATATCTCTTATTTTGACCAAAAATTTGGCTAATATTATCAAAATGTTATAGAATAGATTTTTTAAACTGAAGTAAAATCGTGAAATAAAAGAAAAAGTCGACAAATAAATTTGAAAAGATTTTAAGACTCAATGAAACGGAAATGTCGCCAAGCAAGCAATTAAATCGCCAAACAGTTTGACATCAATTTCAGTTAACATTTTAAAATTTGAAAAAAAAAAAAAAAAAAAAAAAGCTTGTGTGCCGATTTCCGATTTTGAGAGGGATCAGGTACAGGTATTCCTCAGGACGGGGAGAAAAACTGGGTAAGAGAATTCCTGAAAACAGTTATGCTAAACTTAGGCTATTTTTAGCTCAAAAGGGGTCTCGAAAAATCTCGAATCACTAAAAGCTTTGAGTCACTTTTCAAATTGTTTCCAACAAATATTATAGCCATTTTTATATTTAAAGAAATTAAATAATAAAGAATCTGCTTTAATGCATACATGTTT